ATGGAATGGGAGAGAGAGACAGAGTGCTCTTCCATCCATCTACTGGTTCATTCCTCAAATGGCTGCAAAGCCAGGGCTAAGCCATACTGGAGCAAGGAGCCTGGAATTCCATCTAGGTCTCCCATATGCGTGACAAGGTCCAAGAACTTGAACCATGTTCTGTTACTTTAACAAGAGCATTAGCATGCAGCTAGTTTGGAAGTGGAGCAACTAGGATATAACCCGATACTCATGTCGCATGGGTGGTAGCTAAACTCACAGCTGTACTGCAGTACTAGGTCCTCCCATCGACTTTTGAAGGCCTTTCGTGTTAGCTTTCTGCTTGGCTATTCTCTCTGATTTCCTCTCAATTGGTTTGATGATTTCTCTCTTATAGGAGTTTCATTTTCAGACTTGTAAACAGATTTACGTGATGCTCTCTCAAATTTGCATTCTTCTTTTTAAGCACCCACACTTGTGTTGTACACTTGACTGCTGTCCAGAGCACATGCATCCATGTAAATCTGACTCTTGCTTTCTCTCTCTGATTTGACTTGGCTCATCATCTCTTGGAGTCCTGTTCAAGTTCCTACAAAAGAGTGAATGTTTGGCACCATGTTAGAGGTGACTCACTGAGTTAGTATTTTAGCCCAGTGCCATCCTAGTTGTTGAGGGTCCTTGGGACCAAACCAGTGGGTTGGAGTCTGTCTCTTTGTCTCTCTAACTTTCAAATAGGAACTATAATAAGCAGATCGCAAGTTGCTGGTCAACTTACGAATATCCTGTGTTGTGGGCTTTTGGCAACACTTTGGCTTAAGAAACAAAAAGCAATCAGCTAAGTGCCTGGGCTGCAGATGATTTGACTGAAATCTTTTGCTTTTGAAGGCATGTGAGTAGGGATTTGAGCCTTGTCCTGTCCAGCCAACGACCATGTTGCTTAATACAGATTCCTAGATTTGAAATACAGAGTCTCGGTAGAACCAATTAAAGATGTTTAGAGTGCAAAATAGCATTTGGCAAAAGGAGCTTTGGGTTGATAAGCTAGATTTTTATCTCTTTTTTTGTTCCTCTGGCTAAGATTTTAATCACTCTATGGCTTGATAGCCTCTCCTTTTTGTTAGAGGTAATGATATGTTCCTTCTGCGGTTGCTAAAAGATAGTGAGACAATCAGACATTGTTAGTGAACCAATTGGCACGAGACCTGTGTGAGATGGTACAAACTCAGTGTGGGGTAGCTGTCTCAAGCACAACAGAAACTGGGGTCATTCTTCCCAAAATGACAGCATCCTAAGATTGGTTAACAATGTAACTAATGTAAACATGAGCTATCTAGACGTTTTTCTTAATCCACTAGTTTTAACCTGTAATTGCAGATGTCAGGTTTTCTCCTATGCTGTGGAGTTGTCAAAATCGCTAAGTAGAGAAACCCTGCAGTCGCGAGCATCAGGTGTTACACTAACTGACATGACTTTTCCAGTCATGAAGTGTAAGCAGACTGCCAAACGGCTACCAGGCGATTTCTTCTGTTTGTAACAAATGCCTGCCACTGCTTTCTCATTCTCAGACACTTGGGAACATGCACAAGAAACAGGGATGTCATTTTCTACCTACTTTCCCAGTGTTTCATCGTTGGTCACTGCAAGTTACTTCTTTGGGACATCATCCAGACTTCTCTCAGAAACTTCTTTCAAATTCTGGTGTGGAATCTGGCATGCGAATTCCCCTCCTGCCTTCTGAAGTCAGCTTTTATGTTTTAAGTAGAAAATAAGCAAGCACATTCTAGAAAGCACAAGGGAAGACCAAAAATAGGACAGTGGGGGGAAGGAAAAGGAAAAAATACAGGATTTCAAGAGATCGGTACGTAGTGTTCTCAGCAAGTTCTGCTCTTCCCGGAGCGGGCCTGGCCTGTCAGAGACAGACAATAGGCTGAGCGTGTAGGAGGGAGAGAAGGGAGCCACACATTAATTTGGCATAATTTTGGAAAAGAGCGAACTTCTAACCATTATTTAAAAATGTTGTTTTCTCATTTGCTAATGTCACTAAGACAGTCTTGTTTAAAAATATGCACAGGCACACATGCACACACAGGAAAGATCTTCAAAATCTGCAGAAAATGGGTACTATGAAAAACAGTAGGTAGATTTGAAAATCTATTTCATCAAAATAAAGTCATTGTCAATGGAATTTTTTCCCATAATTTACACACACACACACAATTCCTTTCTTGAATCTGTTAGATAACTGACCCACATTTTAAAATATTTATTAGTGTGACCTCATAAGACATTTGGAGTTAGTCTAACACCTTTATGGTGCTGCCAAAGTTTATCTCAAATTCCTACCAGCTCAGTACATGAGTTAGTAATCCTTTTTTGCAGGGTCACTTCTTGGAGCAAAGCCAGATTTCCTTTTACTTATAAATTAGGATATGACACAGAAAGAATAAATTCTGCTTTGTGGATATGCCCCAACTGGCTAGTTGTAAGGCAATCTTTTCCAAGTAGGAGCTGGTGTGGAGTCAAAAACAGTAACAGATTGTCTAGTCTTGCTAGTGCATGTATGGTTCAAGGACTAGCAGTTCTGGCATCACCCAGGAGCTTGTTAAAAATTTAGAATCTTTTGCACTCCCAGATGGTGTAAAGCAGAAGCTGCATGTTAACAAGATCCCTAGGTGACTGTAAGAGTTTGAGAACTGCTCCAGAAGCACATGGCCTGCACAGGATGGAATTGAGCTTAGCTTTTCTCCAGAACCAATTTGAATTTTGAAAGAAATCACATCATGGTTTTCAAGAATTTAGGGTTTTTTTTTAAATCTGTAAAACAAAAATAGGTTTTAAGCTTCCTTGACAAAGAACTTGTGAGGTTGAGATGAGCCAAATCATAAAGTACCATACGTGGAAGTGAGAGTCTGAGTCCTGCTACTTTATGTAAGAAGATGAAGGTAGGCGTTTGAAAGGAAGGATAAAAATTGCATTGGAAACGCTTGATGATCAGACAAAATCCATTTATTTAGCTTGAGAAGATGAGGGAGGCAGAAATAATGAACTTGACTTTCATTTCCAGGGGGAAAGAGATGAGTGATCTTTCCTGCCAATCTTATTTTTTTTTTTTTTTTGCTTTTTATAGTTTGATAAGAAAAATAATCTGATGCTCTCCAATACGGAACTATGATTAATAAAAATCTTTGCCTACAAGCTAAAGGGATATGTGAAAATACTGTTTTCCCGAGAGACCTTTCAAAGGGGTGGTGGCAGCCAGAAAGTGTTAACGTGCCAAGGCTGATCTTGCACAGCCGCTGTGTACTCTCACCTCTGCCTTGGTGTCAGGGACACGCTGTGCTTTATTGTACGCATGTAGCCTTTGGGCCCAGTTTGGTCCTATGATCCTGTTTATTACCTGTTTCTGTTGTTACTGCAGGTTCACTTTATGGTACTGGGAAGTCCTAAGTGGCAGCTCCTAGCAACGGGAAAAGCAATATAAAGTTCCTGACTCTCACTTGGTTGGCTCACTCATATGTCCCTTGAGGAGTGAGAAGTGTGTTGCACATACGCTGACACCAAAGGCAATAAAAGTATTTGTGTGACTCCTAAATCACCGCTTATCATTTTATTGTCTGTAGGTTTCTGTGTGATTCTGGAATCAGGTTAGGAGAGGTCACACTTGCAGTCTTTGTTGTAGCTTTCCCTTGAGCGAAGGCGGGTGCTGGAAGTCAAGAACTGGTGCCCACTGGCCTTTATTCCTTTATCCTCCAAGTGTTTGAATCCTATCTGGACATGTGTGCTCGCTGCCATGATCTCATTGCCAGATGAATTAAGATAGAAAGTGATGATCTTTTGAACACTAAATATGACTTTTAGGTAAATTTTGTGTGAACTTTCTGTAATCCCAACAGATTCATTTTGCACGTGTATTAATTTTAAGTCAAATAATTTCTTGGAGCATCGAAATATAAACACACACACTCACTCACAAAATTATATACCCCAAAGTTTAAGTTAGTGAACACAATGAGAGAGGTGCAGGAGGATAGCCTCTAATACTTTTAACACAGAATCATGTATTTTCAGATAAATATAGCAAATAATAAAGAAATTACTTAGAAGGGATTCTATTTATTTTTTATTTGAACAACCTGCTCTACTCTGTTAGACCTGTATTCTAAACTTATTTTTATCTTTTCTGCTTTAGTATCCATGGAAACAGTTAGGCATCCTTCATATAATAATTTTGATTCTGACAGAGCTACAAACTAATTGTCTGGCCAAAATTATTGTGTTTTTTTTTTTTCTGCTACACTCCTTGGCAGAAGAATTGAGTTGTTTGTCAAATGCAGAGAAACTGTTTTGCTTATTTTCACTATGCAATTAGTCAATCTGCTTAAGTTCATCAAAAACATATTTACTTAAAAATACAATAATACTTAAAGTGATGTATTCAAGCTTTATTTGAAGTAGTATCCTATCTGGATAGCTGGTGGAAAAAAGGACATATAAATTACTATGTTCTTATATATCTGAAAATCTGTGTCCTTATTTCTAATGTGAGATGCTTTTCCATGGGTAGAATGTACTTTGTGAATGGGAGAATGTGGATTTGGGGAACAGGAGTTAGAATGGTAAGGGTTGCATTGTGTCCCCACATGATTCAGATGTTGAAATCCTAAAATCCAGACTCCTAGGATGTGCTTTATTGCTAAATGAGGTTGTTGCAAGTGTAATTAGTTAAGATGAGTTCAATGGAGTGAGGTCCTCTCCAATATGACTGGTGTTCTTACAAGAAGAAATTCACCGTAGAGACACACACAAAGGAAGAATGTGAACATGAAGTGTTTTGCTGCCACAGAGCAAGGAACCACCAGAAGCTAGGAGAGTCCTGGAACAAGTGTTCACTAGAGTCCACAAAGTAGCCAGAATAACACAAGGGTATTATTTCCAGTCCTGAGACTGGAGCCCAATATTAAGGTCACTTAGGATAGCTCTAATATTCTGTTTTTGTTGTCCCCCCCCCTTTTTTTTTCCAGTGGAAGAAACAAAAGCACCTGAAGATGATGAAATGGAGAAGCTCTACAAGTCACTAGAACAAGCCAGTCTGTCACCTCTTGGGGACCGACGACCCTCAACCAAGAAAGAATTGAGAAAGTCATTTGTTAAGCGGTGCAAGAACCCATCCATAAACGAGAAACTCCACAAAATCCGAACACTGAATAGCACATTAAAGGTAAAGCCGTTTCAGATTGTAATGACCTCTGCAGGTGGGGCAAAGAATGGCTGGTTCTGCTCTGAGAGCCACGGTAACTGCAGTGTGTTATGGAGGTGGATAGAAGGATAAGAAAAGTTAGTGGACTCTTCCCAGGATGAGATGACACTGAACATTCTCAAAGCAGGAGCACCGGAGAGCATTTTCCACAGTGTGCCTTTTTAGTACACTCCACCTTACAAATCCGGATCATCAGTACCTAGACAATGAGAACCATGTGTCATTTGTTTTTGTAATCCTCATACCTACCACAGTAGCTGGCTTCATACATGTTGATGAGACACAGGGTGATCAAGCAGTAAAGTGGATTCGATCTTCAGCTTCACCTGGTTCATTCAAGAGTGCCACTCTACTGGAGTACACTCGAGGAAACTGTCAAAATTTCAGGTACAGCAGACTTGGAGACTCCCAGCTGTAGGCGCTGCGGACAGGGAACACTAGGGGAGCTGGCAGTGGAAGCAGACACTTTGTGGTGAGAGGCCAGCACACGTTGTAACTGTTGGATGGCGTGCAGGACGTACTGAAGCTATTTTCAGGGCTTCTTGTAACTAAAATGGTTCCTGCTATAACAAAAGCATCCAGCTTTCACATACAGCGTATGGAATAGACTGGAGGAGATAAGGATTCTCTGTAAAACAGTCCTGAATGAGAGCAAGAGTTATAAGATTCTTTAGACCTTGTGGATCCTGTAATTTCATTCTGCTTTGCACATAACCTTTTACATGAGGAATTTGAGTTCCTTTCCAGGAAAATTATGTCAGCCATGAAAAGGGCAGAACTGCATGAGTGGCTCTTAGCCAGACATACTAGTGAGTCAGAGGAAGAACTAAGCACCCTAAAAGGTTGCAAAATCAGGCTGGGAAAGAACAGGGAGAGTGTTTCAATGCAGTGAATTTTGACATCACCAAGCACTCATTCCACAGGATGTGCACAATTGATAAAGCTGCCGATGTTGGGTCATCACCAGGGAACGTAGGTATTTTATTCTTGTGTTTGTCTTTGAAGGCTGATGGGAATGGATACGTTTGGCTGGACAGGTATTTTCTGAATCTGTCTAAAGACTAGGAACTCTTCTATGGGCACTGAGATTGAGCATGGACCTCATAGCACAGGGTGGCATGTTAGTTACCTCTTGCTAGGTGACACATTGCATCCAGAACCTAACAGTTTTGAGATTCCAGAGTTTATATGGGTCAGGAAGCAAGGCATGCCTTTGTCTAGGTCTCTCACAAAGCTGTGATAAACTGTCCTCTGGGGCTTCATTCATTCCTCCCTTGGAGACATCTGCTTCCAAGCTTTCGCTTTGGTTTGTGGGCAGGATTCAGTTCCTTTGTGCTTGTTGGGTTGATGGTCCTTCATGCACTGTTGGTTGGAGTCCATCTTCAGATTCCTTGCTGTGTGGGCCTTTTTAACGGACAGCTCATCATTTGGGAGCTGGCTTCCTTCAAAGCATGTCAGGCAGCGGAGAGCAGTGAGCTAGCTGGGTTATAACCCAGTTGTGCAATTTCAGTCTTCAATTCAGTGAAACCAAGTTACTACACTCCGAAAGGGCATGACACAAGGACGCTGGAAATACCGGGGGTCATTTCTGGGGCAGCCATCCGAAATCCAGCTGCGGAACTACTCCCTTAATGTTTGAGGAAAGCAGTCCCATTAACCTCAGCAGGTGGTGCACATGGTGACATGAGAACTGGCCTTACTGGAAGACATACAGAGCCCCATCATCTTCAGTAGCAGAAGATGATCTGGCTCTTGTGTGTTGAAAGTTTGACATTGTCTGATGTTTGTCTTAGAATGAGTAGTGAATAGAATGGTTTGTCGGTCTGAATGAGAGTCTCCCAGAGTCAGTCTGGTCTTCATTAAAAGGAAGGGACTCTCTCTTTCCTGTATCAGGTTTTGGATGCTTAGGTCTTGGGTCAAGCCATATGATGAATATTTGTAGTAGGACTTACAGCATTATGACTCTCACAATAATGTGGGAGACCCTATAGGCCTTGCATGTTTGTTGTCAAAATACTTCAAAAGCCATTCAGGAGCAGGAGGGCCATTGTATGTGCAGCCCTGGCTTCCGGGGTGCTTCGTCTAAAAAGGGGCTCAGGATGTGTTGGGGTTTCCCAAATCTCCTTCCTCTGTGCTGTTACCTTCAGATGTTTTACCTGTAACATAATTATCAGAGCTTTAGGATGTGTGGTAAGACATTTGAATTGTTTGGTGCTAGTAATAATAGGAGTGGACTTCGTACTCAGGGTTGAAGAGTCTCCTTTATAATGTTTCATCAGATTTAAAATGGCAATTACTGCATTTTTACATTGTAGAAAGCAATTGTAAAAGTTTTGTTAATCTTCAAAAATTTTGTTGAGTGTTTTCATGAAAATATTTGAATCTCCCTCTGATACAGGTATCTAAATTTCATGAGAAAAAAACAATGAGGTTCCTGAATTACTTCCTATTCGTATCACTCGTGTGATATTAGAGGATAAGGGCTTATTATTTGCTTTCTGAATTTTTTTCTGAAATGTAGAGATCGGGGGCTCAGAAAGAAAAAAAATAAATAAAACTTTCTTGTCCCTTTCTGACTTGTTTGAGTTAGTCAAAACTCCGCTTCTCCATGTTTGGGTCCTGGTCTACCTGCCTGCTGCGTCAGTTTGATTACTGTCCAGCTGAAATACGCGTGAATCCTTTCAAGATGAAATGCTGCTTCTGTCTCTCTCTCTTACTTTGTTTTCCTCTCTCTTCTTCTCAACTCTTTGCCTATCTATCATCTGTATCTTTCCACAGATTTGTTTCTAACGGAGGAAGTTTTCTCAGGCTCTAAATAAGTTCTAGAATTCAAAAGAGATTAGAAAGCAAATGCATGAGTGATTCATCCACTAATTAGTTGTTTAATATATTCATTTTTCAGCAAGTATTTAATGAATGCTCATGACATGTCAGTAATGTTCTTGAACAGTGAGGAATATAGCCTTAGACAAACATGTGTGTCCTCATGAAACTAACATTTCATTATGGGAATAGACATGGTTATTACGTTTTATAATATGATAAGCAATGATAGAATCAAAAAGCGGGATGGGGGATGCTGAAGAACTGATTTTTAATTAGCAAAGGCAAGAAAGGCCTCTTTGAAGAATGGGAGTTTTAAAGCCCAAAGAAGTTAAAGAGTGAGTGTTGAGTTGATCTGAGGCATAGTGTTCCAGGAAAAAGAAATAAATATGAAAAAAAAAGTTGAGGCTGGGAATACGCCTACTGTGTTTAATTAATGAATAGCAACTCATTGAGCTTGTGGTGTGACAAGGGTGGAGCACAGGAGAAAGCAATGGGGCTTCAAAAGGTTAGATACCACATGTTTGCCTTGATTTAACCTGTAATTTTTGTTTCGTTGTTTGTTACTTTTTGAACCTGTCATTGATACTGTCTCAACCCAGGTGTTTTGAAGAATTGAACTTGCATTATTTTTAACATATTGTTTACTCAATACTATGTCAATTAATTCCATAACATTGTATATTGATGCTGATGTTTTGTTGGGGCTTTTAACTGACCGGAACTTTACTCTGTTAGCTCTACCTTCAGACCAGAGAAGGTCTCCCCAAGAAGCCACTGAATTTATCTGGACAATAAGATGCTGGACTTTATGCTAGGTGTATGCTTGCAATGAAGGAATCTCAACTGAACTTGAACTGTGGTTATGCAGAAAGGTGGAGGAATCCACTATGGGGGAAGGGTTGTGGGAGGGGTAGGGGGAATCCCCAGTGCCTATAAAACTGTATCACATAATACAATGTTAATAACAATTAAAACAAATAAATAAAACTTAAAAAAAAAAGCAATGGGGCTGGGAAGCAATGAAGAGTCACATGTGTAGGGCCTTGTAACCTGTACAAAAACCTTCACTTCTGTCTCAGTGAGATAGGAAACCTGTGGAAGTTTCTCATTTTGGGGGTGTGATGTTTGACATATTTGGAAGGTAGGATGACCAAGATGTGTTGGTGGATTGAATGTGAGAGAAATCAAAGAAAACTAGAATTTTCCTTGAACCCCTGAAAGGATGGACTGGTCCTTTGTGCTTTTCAAGAGTAGGAGCAAGAAGCAGGGTGGGGGAAATATGAGGAACTTCGTTTGGGACATGTTGTAGTTGAGATTCCCCATAGAGGTCAGAGTGGAGCTGCTAAAGGGAAAGTGAAGGGAGCATATACGGAATCCAGGAGAGAAGTTAAGGGGAGGTGCTTGGCATTGCGCACAAGGGGGAGTGGGGGAGGCTGCGTTAACTGAGATTCTGAATATGAGTAGAACAGAGCTGAGAGTAAGTAGACGAGCTGACCTAGTTAGCAGTTGGAGTTCTGTGCGAACAAGATGGAAGGCATCATGTATTTCTGCAAATGCAAATGTAGATAGTGGGAAATAGGAACTTTGATATACTCCATTGCTTGTTTCCATTTCTTCAAAGAATAGAGAGCAAGGCAATTAGCTGCATGTGTGCGTGGCAGCTAAGGTTTGAGATGAGAGGTGTTGAAGCAGTCAGTGGAGAGAGAAGAGGGAGGTTAAGGTGTAAGTGCTGGGTGATACCGTGAGTCCACTGGCAGTTGTCTTGAATTTTCAGGGTGACCAATGAATGAATGAGTCTGTGTGTTTGTGAAGTGTGCTTCCTGTCCTGGTTGAAAGGAAAGCATGGAAACTAGATGGATTCTAAGTCCGATTTGGGGCTCCATGAAAATTTTCTGGAGAATGTGATTCCTGAACTGAGTATATATTTCCATGTTAAAGAAAATTCAGGTAATTCTTGAAAAATGCTCTTTGTGAAACAACCTCTAGATACTAGAGTCCATCAGCTGAAGAAGGTGAGGAAGTTCCTTTACGTGGTAGAATGCGATGCAACTTCATCAAGATCATCGAAAAATGGAATTAAAAGATAAGCTTATCTTAGTGCAAGCAAAAATTGAATGCATATTTTCATGAACCTTTTGAAGATTTGTATACATAGATTGCAAAACTTTTCACACCTTTTTAAAGAATCTTTTAATTCCATTTTCCATGAGATTTTGTGAAGTACACTTGTGCCATGGAGGTAGACTTCTGGAAATTATAAAAATGCTCCCTGTGCTATTAGACTGGAGAGCCAGAGGGCAGTGGAGCTGAAAGGATGGGAGAAGTTTTGAATCCTAAGAGCAATGGCAAGAGGATTAAGCATTGAGCTGGTGGATGGGTTTAAGTGCTAGTGGACTCCGGTGAGCTCACCGTACCGCCTCAGCAGCACATTTGTGGGAGGTGTTGGCCTGGATGTCCAAACAGTAGGGCTGCAGATATAGGGGTGGAGAAAACAGCAATAAGCTTGAGAAACAGTTGTTTGCGTAGAGGGCTATGTGTGTGTGTGTGTCTTAATTTTACTCCATTCCTTTCCTATAGAAAACTCAGCTGAGCCAGCCACTTCAGAAATGTTTGTCATTGCATCGAGGGGAGGCAGGGTTAAATGACAATTATTTATTGGCAAACATGCTATTTTGACAGGTGGTTAGTAGGTTCCTTGTAAAAGGCAGAGATAACCAATATATTTATTGTAGGCATGTTAATTAAATTTGATGTATTAAAATTAAGATAATCCATAAAAATATATTTTGTGCTGTTTCACATCATAGGTAAAGCATTTATGTCATAGTTTTACTTAGTGATGTTTGTCTCATCACTGAAATGCTTATTCATAAAATAAAAAGTTCCAGGAAGAATATTCATTCCAAGACGGAAGTTTTACTGTACTTTCAGATAAAGGGTTTATCAGGAAGTGCAGCAACAGTAGCCTTGGCTGTGTGGTTCTTCTGCTACCATCTTTACAGTTGGAATATGTGATGTATGTCCTGATATGTCTCTTTAGGCTGAATGTAGGGCTTAGAATATTAATGTATGACTGCTTTGATAATTATTTCATGAGCATAAATGTGCACTCCTGAAAGTGTTGGTAAAGATGTTTTGTTGAAACTGAAATGCTCACAGCATACTCTCTCTCACTTGTTTTTACGTGGACAGTGTAAAGAACATGACCTGGCCATGATTAACCAGTTGCTGGATGATCCGAAGCTGACAGCGAGGAAATACAGAGAGTGGAAGCTCATGAACACTTTGCTGATCCAGGACATGTACCAGCAGCAGCGGGCTGCACCTGCCCTCGAAGGCGAGCTCCAGGATCTGCGGAGGCTACCTTCAGGCTGCGTTGAAAATTCTATTTGATAGCATGCCAGGATTCTCTCCTATTAATGCTTTATCGAGGCAATTCTTCAAGAGGTTACAAGGACTCAGTTCCTGAAACATTAGCTTCTCCTCTGAGGATGCAATTTAGGTGAAAAATAACATCAGCAAATATAGCAGTCTTCTCATTGCAGTTGGACACATCCAATGAGGACACAATGACTGTGTTCATTTGCTTGAACAGAAGTTTTTGTGTGTTGCTATTGGGAGTTTACACGGACGGGAGAGGCCCTGGGTTAGGTATGAGGGATTTGTCTTCTTTTTCTTACTTCCTAGGGAATTGCGGCATGCTATGGTCCAAAGGCCAGATTTTAATAAGGATAATTATTCATAGAAATGTTCTGTTTTCCAGAAGAATGTGGACTTTCCATCCATTTAGGTTGCTGAGTTTTCTGAATCATGCTGTAAGTGGAGGAAAGTTTTCTCCAGTAGCGACTGGGCTGGGACAGATGTGGTGCTGTGGACAGAATCTCCTTGTCTTCGGTGTAGCAGGGTGGTACCTCTTCCACTTTTGGGAAGTACTTCATAGAGCATGGGAGAGCCCAGTGAGAAGGAGTGTTTTATATCCCACGGACTCAGCGGACACGTTAGTGTGTTCACATCCAGGTTAGAGGATCTGATTATTTCTTTGCCTTGCAACGCAGAGAGAAGAGAGACGACTGGCGATTCGTGTGTCTTCTTCCCTGCCATAAAGCAGGGGAGTTCTAAGCTCAGAAAGGATTGTTTGCTGCTTTGTCTTTGGTATGAACTTACATCCAATTTGCCATGGGTTAATATTGACAAGATGGTTATGGTGTCTGAAGTTTTTGATATCATCACTCAGAAAACAAGCCAATCCAAAACTGGAATTAAAAAAAAAAAACAATAAGACTGAAAGTCACAATTGTTTTATTTTTGTATGATTATGCATCACTTCGTGTGCCATGTGAATAGCTATAATATGTTCATTATTTAAATATATTTATAGAAATTAAAATTACTAGTGTTTTGAAAGATGATATACTATTCTATGTTTTACTCATATATTCTTAGTGTATACACTTTTTGCTTGGGAAAAATAAGAATATTATTGATTCCTTGGAGCTACTACGTTGCACTATAATGTAAGAAGAATGCTCAGGAAATCTTGTAGGAAAAATATGGCAGCATGCAATAAATTTTCAATTCTCTCCTCACCCCCAGAACTCTTAGATTTTTCTGTCTGTGTCTCAGTCTTGACCAGAAACAGACTTCCATCCTATCTTGTTATTCCTGTTAAATAAACTTTAAGTTTTGTGCCAGTTATGCTCACAGACCTCTACCAAATAAAACACAAATAATGTAATCTTCCGATGAAAGATTAAGCAGAAAACTTGGGGGTCACTTTTGTAGTGATCCCATACAGGAAAAATGTGAAAGTTTTTGCTTACCAATCAGCATGAATATAGGAGTTCTCTAAAGGGTTACAAAAAATAATACTATGACAGAACTTTGCATTTCAAAATTTATTCTCACCAAAGCAGATTTAATTCCATTTTTAATGGCTTTTTAGAAGATTTCTTGAACTTATGGTGAAAATAAGCAAAACTTACCGAGAAGCCAGTTGGACCCACCCTGTCGCTAGGAAATTGTTGACATAGCATACTTCATTTTGTAGTCTAAGTGTGGTTTGGTAGTTGAATGGAAATAACCACCTGAATTGTGTCTGCAAACTCAATGGAAACAGTTGTTGGATATTTCCACGAGCCTTAGTTAAAAGTTTTCCTGCCTTGTAAACAAAATCAAGAAGGATAAAAAAACAAAGTGTAGTATCAGAAGCTTCTCTAAGATAAGGGGTAAGGTGATCAATTCATTCCAGCGAGTGTGTGAGCTGGCACTTCTCCACTAAGAAGGCATGAAGAAGGGGGTGAGAGTCTGACCCCTGGTGAATCTGTGGCCAGTACCTAGGGGAGGTAAGCCATTCAGATCCTCTAGCTGATGTTTCTAGTTTGAAAAATGCCATGGATTCTCCTTGTGATTGGAAGGTTGATGATCCGGGACTCACCATATCAGCAGGGTACTGAGGAAGGAGAATAGTAACCCTGAATATTCCAGCACAGGGCCAAGTGTTTTCTCACCGTTTGGCTTTGCTTTGCACTACTGACCCACACGCTTTCAGAAAGGTTTCCTAAATGGAAGTGTTCCAAAAACTTTTGATCAGGGCTTGAAAACATGTTGATGTTGAAACGCTTTGACTTCCACCCCCACTTTTTTTTTTCTTTTGCAGAAGAAGGGCTTTCCAAAAGCTCGAGGGAAATACAATTTTTTAAAATTCCTCTGTCCATGGACTTTTTACAGACCTCTTGTATTTAAGTGGGCTTTTACTGCAAACTCCTTTAGTATCATTCTGTCTTAAAAAGCAAACTGGCACAATCTTGAAAAGATTGCCCAACCGTGACTTAAAACCAGTGAATGATGTCAAGGTCGCTTCTGGGAGGTTAGCCTAAAAGTTTCTGTTGTCTTGGTTAGAGCTTATTTTGTGGAACCTCTTATAATGAAAGTTGGAAGGAATGATCTGATTTTGCACCTCGCCCTTTTAGACCTAAGTCACTGCTTGCATTAGTGCCTTTCCTGATGTAAACGCTTTTGTTCTGTGTTTGGAAGCCAGGGGCTGCTTCTTGAATGCCCTAGCATCCTCTGTAGCCACTAAATGAGAATGGGATACAGAATAAAATAAGAGAAACAGAAAGTGATACTTTCCCTGTGCTTGATGCAGGAGCAGCCCTAGCAATTTCTTTGTAGATCTCAAATCATTTTTTCTGGTCCAAATGTTACCGGGAAAACTGGAATACTTCCTATTTATTGCTTGAAATGAGACATCTCTGAGATGAATTTTAGATGTTTTGATGGGGCCTAAGGTGAAACTCCTGTGGTCATTGCATTGGCCGGCTGCTAAGGAAGGAAGTGGTCAATCCCCATGCCAGTCCCAACCCATGCAACCAGTTAAGGATGAGGATCTTGAGAAAGCTCCATTCTGCGTGTGTGCGTAGCACTCTCCCCTATTGTCGGCTCACAGACTGAAGTGGGGCTTGGCACAACAGACTCATCTTCATTGGCCGGCACGTTGCAAACACACCCTGAATGTGACTGCCAGTCTTGCAACTGAAGGGCATCTGTGACCTTTAGGAACTCGTAACTCTGCCTCACAGCTCTCATAGGCTAGCGCAAAAGAACTAGAGAGCATCCTAGGACATATGACCCCCAGGACTTGTAGCAGTCCAAGACAAACTGTTAGGAGTCAGAATGCAGTATAAAGTCCATGCCTTACATTTACACAGCACTTTATGATTGGAACGTTGGTTCGTTCCGGTCACAACCGTCTTCCCTCTGTGACTCTCTTCTTTTGCCACAACTCCTACTTCATCTATCCACTCAGTATCCCCGGCACAAGGGCTGTGGATGACTGGGCAGTGAAGTGCCTGGCCCAGAGACCCAGGTGATGAAGCCAGAAGTCAAGCAGGAGCTCCAGGACTCTGATAACCCCTCATCTGTGACTTTGGTAAGCACCAGTTGTAGCAGAGCCCCTCAGGGAACATGCCTTCAATTTTCAGTATGGACTCCATCTCACCAGACTGGTGGTGGTGACATTTTGCTGAGTGTTCCATTTGAATCTGGAGGGACCTGTAATTCCCCGAGCTCCCTGAAGGTCCTGCTGTGAGCTGCTGTGGCACTGTCCGCCTGTACTTCCTTTGCAGCTTACACAGGAAGTGATTCGTACTGCGTGATCCTTGGTGGGAAGAGGCATGTGGACAGACATGAAGAGTGCTGGTTTTGCTGCTCATGTAAGGTTAGTCTAGCTAGATGTCACACTCAATTTGTGACTGGGGGATATAGTCCTTTAACCATCCTTTCTCAGCATCTTGTGCAAGTATGACTTTCTCAAGTAACTTTCACATCACTGCACCATTAAGACAAACAGGTTGAAGGGAAGAAAAACATGTGCATCTTTTGAAAAGAGGTACTGTGCATATTAAAGCCACATTTAAATTCATAGGCACATTCCTCGTTGTAGGAAAGATAATATTTCAGCAAAATACGATTTAGTAAGTCATTTAGGTGAAGAGGGTATCACTTTACGCTGAAAAGCCACCCTATCGACACAAGGCTTTAGAAAGCATCTTTTCTTCAGTCGAACACAGTCTGGTATTTGGTCAGGGATTTCCGATTTTCCCTTCCAATATTTTGTGTACTTATGTCATGGACGAAATTGAGCCCCAGGCTTGGGACGTGGTGGCCATGCTGCAGTTTTCCAACACATTCTTACACATCATAGGTCTGAAAAGCGACATTTCTCACCTTACCTGAAATGGGATCAGGAAGGGTCGTACCCTACCCCTTACAGAAGGGAAAAGTCTCCAGTGTCAGCAATGAGGTATTAACCCACTGCGAGTTTCTTTGTGCTGAAACAGAAAGCTATTTCGTATTTTGATTTCTGACTCTTACATTTCTTGGCTCTTTCCCACAGTACCCTAGAAAACATTGCAAATGCAGTCTGCATTAAAAATTTTGCTTCAGTCTCTCTCCTGCTATAAACAGAGGTAATGCTTTATGTAGATCTCTATGCTGAGGGGGAAGCATGACCCAAGGGGATGTTCAACATCTCAAAATAAAACTGAGATTTCTGGTCACCATGAATTTCGATGTTTTGCATGTTGGGGATGTGACATACAGCACTGTATGGTATTTGGAGCAAAATATTAATGTGGAAATCAGATGCAAAATTTCACTGTATTTTTCTTCCTTTGTCACTTTGTCTTTTTGACTAAACTTTGAAAAGAGGCATGACTCGTTTCTCCTACTTTGTGTTTTTGAGGTTGTCCTGTAAGATGAAAACAAGAGAAAATATATCTATTAAAATGACATAGGAAAAGTTGGAATGTGCCTCTGGTGTTCATTTTCTGTGCTCTTCTTCAAAGGAAAAATTTCTCTTTAGGTAGTGAGTGGTTGTTCTTTGATCTTCTCTAAAGGTTACAGTGCCCTCTGGTGGAACTCGAATGATAACAAAGTCCTGAGGATATTAAAATAAAAAAGGTCTAATTATGTTGAACAATCTATTTCAACTATGGTTGGGGTGGTTTTCTCCAATGGCTGTCAGTTCATAGGTTTATTGGTAAGATAATATTTACATTCAAATATCACTATTGGTCCACAAAGTGAATTTGACATTACCATTCCTGGACATTGACTTTGGGAAAGTTAGATTCCAACTTTGGAAAGTTGGTTATCATTCCCGTATCAGGGAAAAGATACATTGTAGAATAGGTTTCCTTAAAATACATAACATATTTATGTGAAAATCAAAGAAAATATTAAGTTTTCTTCCTTTTGGATCTACAGATCAAAAGAAAGTGGTTTGCTTTTGGATCGCCTCTTTCTGTTGCTGCTTACACCAAATTTTCATATTTTTCCTTCTTCTCCAATTATGACCTGACATACTGAGAGTCCAGCCTCTTTCCTCTACATCCTCCACCACCAAATATTCCCAGGTTTTCACATTTAAGCAGTAAAATTTATTTTAGATCAAAGGGATTAGTTAAGGCATAGGTACTATCTTGTATTAGTCTGCTATTGCTGCTGGGACAAATGATCTGAACCTGCCAATTTAAGTGAATGTACCCTGCCATTCTGCAGCTCAGATCCCTTCGGATACAGTGGAGGTCACAGCAGGATGATGCTCCCTGCGGGCGAATCCATTCCCTCGCCTTCTCTGAGCTCTAGAAAGTGGCCACGTGGCTTTCTTCGGGATCTCTTTGTTCGTCTTTGGAATCTGCCAAATTGACTTTCCTCTGTAGCTACATCTTCCTAAGACGGATCTTTTAGGACTCTTGAGATTACACTGTGTGCACCTGCATAATCCAAAATAGTCTATATAAGGCCAGTTGGTCTGCAAGCTTAGCCTTTCATTCTGTGTTGTTGCACAGCTTCCAGAAAGGAGGACATGGGCTTTGCCCTGTTAACCACACACACACCTGCATCGCAGACAGAGTACCTGCTTAGTTTCCAGTAGCTATCAGCACCTCCCTAAAACTCCTGGATTCCCATGCTTTAACTGCACAAAGTTATTTTTCATAGCATGTGACCTGAATTTGCTCTCATCAAGATATACTTCCTTTAGGAAAGACAATTTCATCTTTATGAAGAGAAGCTCCTTGGCAATGATTACCTGTAGTCAGGGTAGAAAAAAGTTGAAAACCAGGTGCAAAACTCAATTGTAAGGAGTATGGCAACACAGGCTAAGTTTCTCTTCCTTTCTTTGTATCATCTATCTATCTATCTATCTATCTATCTATCTATCTATCTATCTATCTATCTATATCATCTATCTTTCTTCTTTCTTTCTTCTTTCTTTCTTTCTTTCTTTCTTTCTTTCTTTCTTTCTTTCTTTCTTTCTTTCTTTCTTTCTTTCTTTCTTTCTTTTCCTTCTTATTCTTTCCCTCCCTCCCTCTTTCCCTCCTTCTCTCTCTCTCTTTCTTATTCCTCACATCCATGGTTAGGTATTTGAGGCTTTTCTTTTTTTATCTTTCTGCTTTTTCATAAAATTGTGAAATTTCCTCTGTAGAAGTCTTAAACACATTTTGTTGGGTTTATTTCTACATATTTTATGCTTTAAATGTTATTTTAAAATTGTACTTTTTTATTTTTTTTATTTATTTTTTTTATTATTATTATTGTTGCTTACATTGTATTATGTAGTACAGCTCCATAGGCGCTGGGGATTCCCCCCACCCCTCCCACACCCCTCCCCCCATGGTGGATTCCTCCACCTTGTTGCATAACCATAGATCAAGTTCAGTTGAGATTCATTGCTTGCAAACACATGCCTAGCATAAAGTTCCGTGTCCTATTGTCCAGATAAGTTCAGTGGCCTCTTGGGGAGACCTTCTATGGTCTGAAGATAGGTCTAACAGAGTAAAGATCCGGTCAGTTAAAAGCCCCAACAAGGCCTCAGTATCATTATACAACATTATGGAATTAATTGACATAGTATTGGGTAAACAATATGTTAAAAATAATGCAAGTTCCATTCTTCGAGACATCTGGGTTGAGACAGTATCAATGACAGGTTCAAAAAATAACAAACAACCAAACAAAAATTACACGTTAAATCAAGGCAAACATGTGGTATCTAATCTTTTGGGATTCACTCATTTCCCTTAGCATTATAGTTTCCAGTTGTGCCCATTTAGCCACAAAGAACTGCATTTTGTTTTTTTTAATAGCTGAGTAGTATTCCATGGAGTAGATGAACCAAAGCTTTCTTATCCAATCTTCTGCTGATGGGCATTTTGGTTGCTTCCATGTTTTTGCAATTACTGATTGTGCTGCAATGAACATAGGGATGCATGTTGGTTTGTCGTAAAACAGGTGTTTTGGATATATTCCTAGGAGTGCTATTGCTGGGTCATATGGTATGCAGATTTTGAGTTGTTTGAGTGTTCTCCAGACTGATTTCCATAGAGGCTGTACCAATTTGCAGCTCCACCAGCAGTGGAGTAGGGTTCCCTTTTCCCCGCATCCTCGCCAGCAGGCGTCGTTGGTGTTCTTGTTTATGTGGGCCAATCTTGCTGGTGTTAGGTGGTACCTCATCGATGTTTTAATTTGGATTTCCCTTATTGCTAGGGAGCTGGAACATTTTTTCATATGTTTGTTTGCCATTTGGATTTGTTCCTTTGTGAAATGTTTGCCCATTTCCCGTGCCCATTTCTTGAGTGGCTTGTTCGTTTTGGTTTTTTGGTTGTTTTGAAGTTCTTTGTATATCCTGGAAATTAGCCCCCTATCGCCTATATCGTGTGCAAAGATCTTCTCCCACTCTGTGGGTTGCTTTTTTACTTTGTTGATTGTTTCCCTTGCTGTACAGAAGCTTCTTAGTTTGATGAGGTCCCATTTGTTTATTCTGTTCTCAACTGCTATTGCTTTTGGTGTCCTTCTTAGAAAGTTGGGACCTACTCCTAGGTCTTGCAGGGTATTTCCTACATTTTCTTGCAAGAGTTTGAAGGTTTCTGGATGTAGGTTTAGGTCTTTTATCCATGTAGATTGGATCTTGGTGTATGGTGATAGATGTGGGTCTATCTTTTTGTTTCTACAGGCTATCAGCCAGTTGTCCCAACAACATTTACTAAAGAGGCCTTCCCACTTGCTTGAGTTGTCATTGGTCTTTTTGTCAAAGATTAATTGGTTGTATTTGTGTGGGTTCCCTTTTGGAGCTTCTATTCTATTCCATTGATCTTCCTTTCTGTCTTTGTGCCAGTACCAGGCTGTTTTGATAACCACTGCTCTATAGTATGTCCAGAGGTCCGGGATTGTGATTCCCCCTGCTAACTTCTTATTTTTCAGGATGGTTCTAGCTATTCGTGGTTTTTTGTGTTTCCAGATGAACTTTTGAATCATTGTATCCAGTTCCGTGAAGAATGTTTTGGGCAATTTGATTGGAATTGCATTGAAAATGTATATTGCTTGTGGCAGTATAGACATTTTAATGATATTGATTTTGCCTATCCAGGAGCACGGGATGTTGTTCCATCTTTTGAGGTTTTGTTCAATTTCCTTTTTAAATAGTTTGTAGTTTTCTTCGAATAGGTCTCCTACGCTTTTGGTTAGATTTATTCCCAAATACTTCATACTTCTCTCAGCTATTTTGAATGGTATCCTGTTGGTTAGATTTTCTTCCATCTTGGTGTTATTTGCGTACACTATGGCTGTTGATTTTCGTTCGTTAATTTTGTACCCCGCCACTCTGCCAAACTCTCGTATAAGTTCTAGCAGTTTCTGTATTGAGTCTCCTGGTTTTTCTATGTATAGGATTATGTCATCTGCATATAGTGAAAGCTTGACTTCTTCGTTTCCTATACGTATGCCTTTGATTTCTTTTTCTTGTCTTATGGCCTCTGCAAGTACCTCTAGGACTATGTTGAATAGCAGTGGTGATAGCGGGCACCCTTGTCTTGTTCCAGATCGCAGTGGGAAGGGTTCTAGCTTTTCTCCATTCAGTATGATACTGGCGTTGGGTTTTTCATAAATTGCTTTGATTATGTTGTGGATTTTCCCGTCTATGCCTACTTTGGCTAGAGTTTTTAGCATGAAGAGGTGTTGGATTTTGTCGAAGGCTTTTTCTGCATCTATTGAAACTATTATGTGGTTCTTGTTTTGCAGTTTTTGGATATGGTTTATAACATTTATGGATTTCCGAATATTGAACCATCCCTGCATTCCAGGGATGAATCCTACTTGATCCGGATGAATGATCTGTCTGATGATTTTTTGAATTCTATTGGCTAGGATTTTGTTGAGAATTTTAGCATCAATGTTCATCAGAGAAATAGGTCTGTAGTTTTCCTTCTCTGATGGTTCTCTGTCCGGTTTTGGGATTAAGGTGATGTTGGCTTCATAGAATGAGTTTGGGAGGGTTGCTTCCTCCTCTATTGTTTTGAAGAGCTTGTAGAGGATTGGGGTTAGTTCTGTTCGGAATGTTTTGTAGAATTCTGTAGTGAAGCCGTCTGGGCCTGGGCTTTTTTTCGTTGGGAGATCCTTGATGACTGTTTCAATCTCTACCTCGGTTATGGGTTTATTTAATTCTGCAGTTGCCTCCGGACTGAGTTTTGGTAGGTGGTGGGAGTCCAAGAACTTTTCTATTTCTTGGTGGTCCTCAAATTTGTGGGAGTACAGTTCTTTGTAGTAATTTCTAATTATTTTCTTAATGATTGCAGTGTCTGTTGTTATGTTGCCTTTTTCATCTTTAATGCTATTGATTCTCACTTTCTCTTGTTTTTTTTTGGTCAATCGGGCCAGTGGAGTGTCTATTTTGTTTATTTTCTCAAAAAACCAACTTTTTGATTTGTTGATTTTATGTATAGTTTTTTTGATTTCTATTTGGTTTATCTCCTCCCTTGTTTTGATGATTTCTTGTTTCCTATTGTGCGTGGGACTCTTCTGCTGCTGTTTTTCCAGATCCTGGAGGTGTGAGGTTAGTTCCTGTATTTGGCGTCTTTCTTGGGCCTTGACATGCGCTCCGATTGCGATGAATCTACCTCGTAGCACTGCTTTGGCAGTGTCCCACAAGTTTTGGAATGTTGTATCAGAGTTTTCATTGGTTTCCATAAATTTTTTGATCTCATCTTTAATTTCTTCTCTGACCCATTGTTCGTTTAATAGCATATTGTTCAATTTCCAA